TATTTTATATTAATTTTAATCAAATTTTATATAATAAAATTTAAGAAATAATAATTCAAAAATGTTTATATTAATAAAATTTTTTTTATAAAGATATATAATAAAAATTTTTACATTCAAATAAATTCTAATATCTAATAACTTAATTATATAAGACAAAATTAAAATTTTGTTTTGAAAAAATAATCTATTAATATTTATTTGATGTACCAATCTTTTTGTACTGGACTATATTAAATTTTTGTTAATATAAAAATAATAAAATTTTAATATAATAATTTTTTAATTATTTAAAAAAATTTAAAATAAATAGTTTTAATATAAAAGTTATAAGTAATTAAATATTTTTGACTAATACTATATATATATTAGATAAGTAATTGCTTTTTTGTTTTTTAAAATAAAAAAATTAACTATTTGTAATATAATTTAAATACTATTATAATTAATATTATTGTCATTTTCATCTAAAATTGTATTGTTATTAATCTTTCTACTCATTTCTGATGCTTCTTATGTATTTTTTTCATTTTCAATCTTCTTTATATTAATATTTGCATTAATCTTGTATTACTAGTCTGTGATTTTTAATTACTTTCTGAATATTAAATAAAAGAGAGTATATAAAAAAATTTTATTTTTAATAAATTTAACCATAATTTCTTTTTATTGAAGTAGTAATATTATTTTTATTTTATATAAAACCTTTAAAATAATTTCAATAACTTCTGTTAAATAATTATGTTTTGTAAAGCTATTGCTGTTTTTTATTATGATATTATTGTTTTTTATTTTATATAAGAATTGCTTGAATAATTAGAATAAAGTTGTTCATCAAAATATTTATCAGTTTTGAAAAGTTGTTGAGTCTTTATGAAATTATCTTATAAAATCATTTTTTATTTTATGTAAGAACTTTGTAGAAAATTTCAGATAATAAAAGATTCTCAGCCAATCGAAATGATTAACGAATCAGGTGGGGAAGGGAGGAATGTTATTTATCCTAGAATTCATTGAATTCTTGTACATTTAATTGCCAAGATTCTATTTAAAGTATGTTTGTTATTATATTGTACTTCGCATATAAATTATACAGCAACACATGAAAAAATAAGAGAAACTATTAATATTTGTCTTTCCTATAAACCAGATTATAGCATGTAATAACGATAACAAGAGCGGATCGATAATCGATAAATAATTTTAACGGCGATAATAACGATAATACATGTAACAAACAACCTGAATTTTGCATGTCAACTTCAAAATTGTGGAACCTGACTTAAAATCGACACGTGTATTACTGCTAGTTTTGGTATGTGTGTTCTATTTTTTTCGCCAGTTGTAAATAGGGAAAATGACACAACACGTTTCCAAAGATCAATATAGTCGAATTTAATTTCATCAGTTACGTAACATAAAGAGTCTAGGTAACTATTTTCATTTCAATCTCGTGTTTTTCTTTTTATTCTTGAAACAAAAATTGACAAACAACCCAAAAAAATCAAGTAAATAAAATATCACAATGATTAACTATACGATGATTCTGTATATAGATATTTTGATCAAGGGTTTAATGTAATGGAGAAGTATCAAAAAAAAATATAATAAAAAGTTTTATTGTTAGATTGCCCTGTTTTAATTTTTTTTTTGGTTTCAGGAAAAAATTATTGAATGATTTATTAGATAGAAATTTATTATCAACATTGTATGTATAGTTTTGATTTTTTATCAGAAAAGTTTTCTTATTATTTTCCTGTCAACTTTTTATGTCAGTTTAAACCGAAATAATCAAATAATCATCACGGCATATCGATATTATTAAGATATTCAATCCAGTATTGAAATATGAAAATCCGCGCAATAAATGTTTAAGTAATGGCACACGGTGATAATCAAAATGGAGTGAAATCAACTTCAATTGCAACAACAACTGTATTTTTGACAACAAACGCAACATTGGCATTGCCATCATCAACTTTAACATCTTCATTATTATCTTCTCCCTCATTCTCCCTATCGTCCTCTACCTCATCAACAACAACAACAACTATAGCAACAACAACAACAACAGAAGAAGATATTACAATAGTATCAGCCACGGTTACATCGACAATTACCTCACCTACGCTTGCACAAATAACACCACCTTATGATACTTTCAATTCTCCACCTGAATCAACTTCACCAACGGAATCCATACAGCGAAGCAATAACTCAACTCAAAATCCTTTGATCTCCTCCTCCTCATCATCGTCATCATCACATTCAACGAATGATTCGAATGAAATCAGTATAGGAATTCCAATTACCGCTACGCTATTATTGGTTTTTCTTATTCTCGTTTTTTTCATAGCATTTAAAATTCGGAAACGGAAAAAGAGCACTGCAGCATTCGCAATACAGAAATCTCGCTCTCGTCATTCTGTCGTTAGCCAATCAACAACTGAATCATCAAATCAGAACGTGAACTCTTTACTAGAGATTGAAGTCATGACTCAAACTGTAAAAATACCGATGAAAGGAACGGTCATTGATGGGATACGTGTTAAACGAATTGGAACCACACAAAAAAAGCATAGCAGTGCTTTATTGAGAACATGGTTTGGAACACCGGAAGAGAAAATAAGGAAGCCTAATGTTGCTGAGGATCAAGTAAATATGTCAATAACTCCGCCACCACCGATTTATCATGGAGAAAACAGAGAGTCGATAGAAAACAGAAAATGGACAGAAGATGGTAACGATAACACGGGAAGAATATCAGGGATGATTCTTCCGTATTATGATTCGAGAAATTATGAGACCAATGAGATTGATGTTCACGAACAACCGGAACATTCAAATCCATTTCTTGGCGCTGACGTCGAAGAATTGGAATATTCAAACCCATTTTTTGGCACTGAGGTCGAAGAATCGGAATATTCAAACCCATTTTTCGGCACTGAGATCGAAGAATTGGAATATTCAAACCCATTTTTTGGCGCTGACGTTGAAGAACTTGATGAGTTTGTTAGTGATTTTGTTGATGCTAGCGACTCGAATGATACACGCAGAACACAAACTTTTGGCCAATTCAACGCCATTTAACTGTACATTTTGCATCATCTCTATAATAATAATTGTAATTGTAAAACGTAATTTGTCACTTCTAATTTTTTCATCGTCGCTTCTTTACCAATTTGTACATGTATTATATTTGAAATATGTAACTTAGAGTGCTGTGTGTGTGTTTTATCTCAAATTTGATATTTGACAAAAGAAAATAAATACAGATTGAGAAATTAACAGGAGTTTCGTTAAAAACCGAGTTAAACTCGAATTAGAGCCAGACATCACATATAGGGCACGTGATCCTGCTTACATGTACTTCTGGTTAACGTTAGCCCGCTCAGGTTCCATGACGATGAGGTAAATTTTGACAATGATGTGATAAATTTTGATTTTGTGCGTCCTTTTATGGAAACGTGTGATATTATGTGTTCGATTCTTTTTTAGTAAATTTGTCTCAGTTTCATTATCGTTATCGCAATATGATATACGATAAATCAAACACTATTGCTATGACCAGTGTCTGAAATTAATGTGCACAATTTGAATGTCTGCACAGGTTTTTAAAATTCTTCATTAAAGTATGTGCACAGTTTTTACCAAATTTTTTTGAAATATAAATATACTAAATATACTGTAAAAATTTAGGTGTACACATATTTTATACTATAAAATATCTCATTAAAATACATCATACTAAGTGATTCTTTTGATAAGTTTTTGATGATTACTATCTAAAAGTGAATTATATAATGCTTCGATTAAGTTTTTTATATATATTTTTTACTTGCGCAATATGCATCTATTATTGACTTATATTCCATTTACCGAAAGATCGCAGCAGTTACAAAAAGCAAACATGAAATACTTCAGGATAATCTTTGAGTCGCGTATAGCTGTTATTGAACTGGCTCTCTGACGTTTCATCTTTGAGTATTGGATTTAATATGAAAACTAATTTATTTATTGATCATAAAAATTCCACTAAAATGACATAGATTTACAAGATTATACATACACAGTATAAAATTATGCGCATAAATCAAATTTGATGTAATTCTGTAATGATATACATGTATAGTTATCGCCAAAAGTAACGCCTGATTTTTTTAAAAAATAAAATTTCGAATTTATTTTATTTCCATCTTATGAATATAAAAATATATTTTATCACTAGCTAATACATTATTAGCTCTTCATATGGCTCTAATATCACTTTAATTTCTCAAGACATTGAGCCTACAATCTTAGAGTTGATATTCATTAATTTTATCTATTTGATTCTATTCATGATTTCTTTCCCTAATATAAATCAAGTATTTTTTGAAACATCATGTTCTCTCAAATTAATGAACAAATTATATTATGAAAAGGGATCAAATTATCTTATAAAATCTTTAGATAAGCTTTTATACAAATTTTTTATTATTAATATTGCAAAATAGCTTGGAATATCTTTTTTGACTTCTTGTATAAATACATTTTTCTTGATTTTAAAAGTCTATTGTCTTCAGATAAATTTTTGTTTTTTTTATCTTTTATACTTGGCAAGAGATTGTTATACTATTATTAATTTACAACATATTTTTCTTGATTTGATATTCAAAAAAAAATAAAACTTGATTTATATTAGGAAAAAGAATAAAATAAATTTAAATAGAGTAAATAAGCATCAAGCAAGCTGCAATAAATAAATTATATTATGAAAAGAGATTAAATAATCTTCAAATAAGTTTTTATATAGATTTTTTATTACTAATATCATGAAAGATTCAGAATATCTTTTTTAGTTTCTTGTATATATGTATTTTTTTCTTAATAATTATGAGCTTATAATCTTTTAAGCAATGATAAATTTTTATTTTTTCTGTTTTTTATACTTGACAAGAGTTTATTATACTCTTATTAAATTATATTATATTTTTCTTGTAATTTATTTAATACTTATAATTTTAATAAAAATTATTATTTTTATTTTTATCAAAAATAATTTATTAATATAATAAGTATTATATTTATATCTAAAAAATTTTATTTAATATATATTTAAAAAATTTTATATATATTATAAAATTAATCAAAAATTTTATTTCTAATTATATTTATTTAAATTATATAAAATTTTAAATATATATACTTGATAATTTAGAAAAAAAAGTTTATTTAAAAGTATTTAATAGCTTATCTTAATAAAATCAATATTTTTTTATTAAAATTTTTTATTAAAAAAATGATTATAAAATTTTAAATATATATACTTGATAATTTAGAAAAAAAAGTTTATTTAAAAGTATTTAATAGCTTATCTTAAT